CCCCAAAACCCCAAAACCCCAAAACCCCATGACTTGTAATTTGAAGCAAATTCAAAATAAAATAAATAAAGTTGCTTTAATTAATTCCATCGGATTTTCCTAGATTTTCTCAATCATCCTTAAACTATCCTGCAAGCCTTGAAAGTTCATCATCTCTCTTCTATTACCTTTTAGTTCTTTTGATTCCAACCTATTCATTTTGCTGCTAGTTTTATTGTTCTGCTTTAATTGAGTTGTCATTTTTGTGAGAATTGGGTTAAGCCTCGCCTCCTTTTTAGTTTTTCTTTTTATCACCTGATTTTTTTTCCTTGTATTATTTTGTACTGTTTGAGATAAGCAAGTCATCGTTACCGTATTTATCTTTAGTAGGGGTGTACTCAAGTCCTAATTCCTAAAGATAGCTTTTCAAATCACTCACGGGCATCTTGAGGAACTTGGCAATCTTACCAGCTCTGAATTGGATATTATGCTTTAAGTAGGCTATTATTCCTATAATGTGACAAATAAGGATTTTGGACTTTTCCTTGTCTTTTACATATTAGTATTGGCCATTAGCAGAACTGTTATCAGATCTTTCATTGTTCATCAATGATTGATTTTTAAAAGACACTTAGGAGAATGTCTCCCTCATTTTAACAAATATCACTGGCTGCATTTTTAGCTTTGAAGCACACTCGTCCTCAGAGATCTCAATGTGTAGAGGCAGCTTTTTGAAAGAGATTAGATTGTCTAGATAAATGCAAGCTCTGAGTAGCATCTTCTTTTCAGATTTACTTTGAATTCTGTCAAATTAAGCATGAGCATCTCTCACCATGTCAATAGCGTAATGGTTTAAGAAATACTATTTCAACAATTCTTCATCCTAGTTCTATAATGCCTTGAAAGTATTCTTATATGCGATTTCATCCATGAGATCACCTGGCAGTAGCTTCTCTACTGAGTAGAGTTCTTGCTTTCTTTGACTGGCATTAAGGATTTCATGCTTGAGGGCATCTTAGTCCTTTTCAATCAAGTGAGCCTTGTCAGCCAATCTGTGATCTCTAATACCCTTATTGGCTTGATTGGTTATTCCTCCATCCTCAATCATGTTTGTTAGCATTGATGTGATCTTCTTCTTTGACTGGGTTGTTCCGAACGCATTGGCTAGTTAAAGTTTCTAGCTCATGTAGTTCATTTACTTGATGGCTTCATTATCTTCCTCTCCTCCGTAAATCTCTGCAAACTTTTCTATTTCCTGAGTGAATTGGTAGCAGCTTGTAACTGGTAGCATGATCACCTTGTTATCCTCTGCTGAAAATACACCTAAATAATAGTCACTTGCTTGATCTTTGGTGTTAATGTCGTGACCAAAGTTTTTAGCAGAATATCTCACTCCACCATTTGCATTCTTAAAATCAGCTTTAATTAATCTTCTCTTTTATTTAGACACCAAACTAGTCTTAGACTCTTATTGGAGAATGTTGAATTGAAGTCTTTGAAGTTACTAGGCTGAGGGCATGTTATTTGGAAAACTGGCTATAATTGGTTCTGTCAAGAAAGTTCCATCTTGATGCTCCTTGTCTGCAGTTCTCACTGTTCTAAAAGTTGTTGACTACATTACTTTCCTATTTAATAAATACCTCAATATTTATATAAAATATCACATTCACATCTAAAATCACTCTCGATTTATTATTCTGATGGGGTTTTGGGGTTTTGGGG